ATCCCTGGGATCAGTGTCCTTGAATTGAAGTGAATTGTTCAAGGTCACACAGCTGGTGGGTGGCAGAGCCAGGGGTGTGCCCAAGCCACCAAAGCCGTGAGGAACTGGTAAAGTGCTAAGTTTGGGGCTTTAGGCTGCTCTGGGCTGTTAGTGCTGGGAAGGCCCCTCTGGTCCTGGGGATGCATGGAGATGATGTCCATCATGTAGCCCGGGAGGGTCCCGCAGAGGAAACTTGCTAACTTGCTGCTGTTGGCATGTCAGGCAGCCTGGAGAAACTGTCTGTTTCTTGGAGGGTAACAGTGTTTGGCTCTGTGGGTTGGACAGTGCTGGCTTGCTCTCCTCCTAAATGTTCTTATTACTGAGGACATGGTGTCTCCCTGTCCCATTTACCACCACCTCCCAGGATGTGGATGCTGCCTACATGAACAAGGTGGACCTGGAGGCCAATGTGGATGCCCTGAATGATGAGATCAACTTCTTAAAGACCCTCTATGAGACGGTGAGGACCTAGTGGTTGGGAGACACCTCATGTCCTACATGTTCTATCCAAGGGGCCATCTAGTCCACCCCCTGCTTCTGAACCAGTTTTGGGGTACTGAGTGTGTGTGGGGGCATTTATTCCACTCTTTTTCCTTCCTGGACTCAGGAATCCATGATGAGCAAGATGAATTCTGGATGAGCTAGGGAAAGTAGAGTAGAATGGGGTCAGTCAGGATTGGCCTGCCAGAGACATGGGATGACCATTGGTCAGGGAGGGCGACTGGGAGGGGTTAAAAGGAACAGGAGGACGTCAAGGGATCCCAGGCAGTGACAGAGTTCAGAGATGGGCTGAGTGGGACAGGCAGGGAAGCCTGAGTCAAGGGAGATTGGAGTTCCTTGGAATTTATACCAAAAAGGGACTGGGTGGGTGACTGTCCACCGACTGGTCACTCTGTCTGCCCACCCCTTTCTCCCGTCTCATTCTTTCCCTCTCATCCCTACCTTGGGCTTCCAGCTCTTCACCCTTGTGGAGATTTAAAAACCTCTCCACTCCGTCAGTGTGCGTTTCTGGCTGTAGGCAGAAGATAGGGTGCCCCATCGTCCGGCAGGGCTGGTCTGGGAAATAATTACATATGAGGCTAGTTACAGAACAGTTCTCAGCTCTCCTCAGTCCAGTCTTGGCCTGAATATCCAGCCTCCATAGCCCCTCAAAGTGAGTTCCCATGTGTGTTCATCTCAGGGGCTGGATCCTTGAGGTTTACTTCCAGCCCTCCTAGTCTCAGTGCTGGTCTTCATATGTCTATCACAAGTTTTATATATATATATATATATGTGTGTGTGTGTGTGTGTGTGTATGTATGTGCGTGTGTGTTTGGGTGTATATATGTACATATAATTATTTTCCTCTCATTATGAAAGAAACATGTATTCATTATAAAAAAACCCAGAAAATTAAGTAAATCATAAAATTGAAGACAAGATATACCACTCTTACCTTGGCACCTACCTTTTTGGCCTTTTTCTATGCAACTTAAAGATATAGAAATACATATTACATTTTAATAAAAGTACGATCATACCCTTTTTCATGTAACAGTATGCCATGAATGTATTTCCCTTTTCACAAATGCAGCTACATCATCAGTTTTAAAGGCTGCCGAGTGTTCTGTTAGAGGGTGAAATAGGACTTACTTTACCTACTCCGGGGGATCATCTTCACGATGGAGCTCATGCCCCAAAGGACCTCCAGCAAGGAGCCATCACCGTTCACTCTGGATCACTTCGTTATACACTATAACCCCACCTGACTCTCTTATTTGAGAAGTTGCTCTGTAGCATATCAGGCAGTTGGGAGTGGGAAGAACTGTTTAGCAGGTGCTGGGGTTGGGCTCCCTCTCTGCCTGGTGACTCAGGGGACTGGGTGGGTGGCTGTCCACCAACTGGTCATTCTGTCTCTTCTCCCTTATTCTTTCCCTAGTGTTTGGGGATGGATGGGTCACGCCCCAGGTCCTGATGTTCTGTCTGGTTCCTACAGGAGTTGGCAGAGCTGCAGGCCCAGATCTCGGACACCTCTGTGGTGCTATCCATGGACAACAGCCGCTCCCTAGACCTGGACAGCATCATTGCTGAGGTCAAGGCCCAATATGAGGAGATGGCCAACCGCAGCCGGGCTGAGGCTGAGGCCTGGTACCAGACCAAGGTGGGTGGCCACTAAGGGCACATTTTCTCTTTCTGGCAGGTCCTGGCAGCAGCTTCCCTTATGCCTCACCCTGTCTCAAGCCTTTAGGGGCTGGGTCCCACTGGGTCCCACTGGCAGGCACCAGTGGTTAAGTCTATGGTGCTCTCCAGTATCCCAGGAAGAAGAGGCTGTGAAGGCCAGTCCCCTGCCCAGGGAGAGATCCCAGCTTGAGGTTGGGGACAGGACAGAAGAAATGGACACAAATTAATAGTGTCCTCTGGGCTGGGATACTATTGTAATATATTATAATAGCTAAAATTTGGCAGGCAGTCTGTGCTAAGCAATGTTTTCATATGTTTTACCTGTGCTGATTATTTAATCCAGAGAACAGCCCAAGTACTCTTATTATCCCCATTTTATAGATGATGAAACTGAGACACACAGAGGTTGGTTAAGTACTCTGCCTAACTCCACACAGCTAGTAGATGGAAGAGCAGGCACAAGATTCTGGGTCCTTGGGCTCTAGACCAGGGAGGTTTAATAATTCCAAGTGCTGTGTGGAGGCAGGGCATTGCCTGTACATGTGCTGAGAGAATGTGGTGGGCTGGCAGGGGTGGTGCTGGAGTAAACCGGTATTCTGGAGGAGGGAACCTGAGGCAGGGTTTAAAAGCAGCAGAGGGGGATGCCTCTGCAGAGATAGGGAGTCATCCATGGTGCATGGCTGAGGACATAGGTATACCAACAAGGAGACCTGGGTTCATATTTGCTATGTGATTCTCGGGCAGTGCCTTCTAGTCTCTGGGACTCATTCTCCTCATCTGTGAAATAGGTGGTGCTGATGTTTCTAACAGGTGTGTTTTTAATGGGGGGTGTTTAAGCTGTATCTCGGACTTGCAGGGATTCTTCAGCACTGGGACATGATGGCAGTGGGTCCTGGAGAGCCATCCTTGTCCTTCCCTGGAGGAGAGTGAACCCCTGCTGTACCCCACTGCCCAGTAGTCTGGCCTCTTGGCAGTGGGTGAAGATTATTGGGAGTTAGACTGTTGGTCCCTGGGTGTATAAGCCAGGAGGACTTATCGCTCAGAACCTTGGGCTGTCCTTGGATGTTGAGAGGGATGAGTCACCTGTAATTGTGGACTTCTCTGTATGGCCTCTCCAGTTTGCGACCCTCCAGGCCCAGGCCGGGAAGCATGGGGACGATCTTAGCAACACCCGGAATGAGATTGCAGACATGAACCGAGCCATCCAGAGACTGCAGGCTGAGATTGACAACATCAAGAACCAGGTGGGCAGGCCCTCCCCCTTGTTTCTTGGGGCATGTGGAGCACAGCCATCAGAGAAGGAGGGGCAGGAGGCAGGGGGTGGGTGGCAACCCAACCCTTACCTCCTCTTGGCCGAGGCTGGTACAGCTCAAGTCTCTCAGGCCTCCTTGTGAGGTCGCCAGGACGGAATGCTCTTGGCTAGGGCCTGGCTGGGGCCAAAGGGGGTGAGGAGTCCTGTCTGGGCACAGAGTCCGTGGAGGGAGACTGGCTGGCCGGCCAGAGAGGAGCCCACTATTCATTACCAATTTGGTAATGAGCATTGTCCTTGCACCTAGCACTGGGTGCAATATTAGTGCCTGGGAGCTTGCAGTCTGTGGGGAATAGGGGACCAAGGCTCACTTACTATGGCTCATGAGGCCCCAACCCATCTCTTGACCTCCCTTCCCACCACTGTCTCTCTCCCTGTGCTCTGGCCACACTAGCCTGTGTGCTGTGTCTTGCACTTGCCAAGCATATTCATGCTTCAGGGCCTTTGCATGTGGCGTTCCCTCCACCTGAAATATGGTTCTTCCAGTTCTGTACATGGCTACCGCTTTCTCATCCCTTGGTTGTGGACAAAAGACCCCTTCTTAGAGATGGCGTCCTCAAACATCCACTCTATCAGCAGTCTGCCTGAAGTTCCCTGGAGCACCTGCCACCATCTGAAATTTTCTGCTTTATTAGTTAAATTGTTGACCGTGCCCCACCTCCACTGGAGTAAAAAAAATATAAGGAAGGGACCCTGTCTGTCTGGCTGAGTGCCCTCCCTTCCCAGCACCTGGCACATGTTAGGGACACAGGACTCAGACAAGAGACTGATAGGACGATGTGTTATGAAGCTGGTGTGGGGAGTGTTGATGAGGGAAGGCCCCCCCCACAAAGCCCTGGCCAAGGCCCGGGGGTAGACTGGCAGCTCAGCCTGAGCAGGTGTCTGCAGTGGGGAGGGAGGGAAGGTGACCAGGGCAGCAGCTTCAGAGAGCTTGATTCCACATGTGCTGGGAGGACGGGATGTGGGGGTGACTTACCCAGAAATGGCCTTCTTTCAGAGCCCTGCAGGCCTGTTTACACAAGGGCGGAGGCTGCCTCCTGGCACAAATGTGGTCATGAGTCACTGGTGAAGTGAGCCAGCTCCAGGCTGGGAGGGGAGGCACAGAGTAATCAATGGTGGTTTCCCAAACCATGCAGCTTCTGCTGCACCCAGTTCTCAGCTCACACAACAGGGCAGAGCCAGCCTCCAGAGTTGGGGTGCCTACCACCATCTAGGGGTCCACAAGCAGTGGGGTGGCCCTGGGCAAGGGGGCACAAGTGTGCTAGGGAAGAACACTGACTGATGGACAAGGGGCAGTGAGCATTGACATTGGAGGACTTCCCGGGGAGGATTGGAAGGGCTGGGCACACAGGCTATGTGAGCCCAGGGGAGAGGGTTCGAGGGCATAGAAGGCGGGTGGTGGGGGGAGTAGGGAGGAGGAGCCCTGAGCTAGGGGCTGAGGATTGTAGCCCTCTGAGCTGACCAAGAGGAGGCCCAGGACTAGAGAGGCTTCTGATGGTGGGATGGGCCACAAGCAGAAGGAAAGCTAAGGCAGGGCAAGAAGTGGCAGTTGCTGCTCAGGTCCATTGTAAATCTGAACACCCCAACCCAAACCAGGGGGGCTATTGATTATGCATTTTGGGCCTGGGGGTTCCAAGCAGTGCCTCTGTGCTCCAAGTCCCCCTGTTCTGGTCTGGTCTGTTTCAAACTAGTTCCTGTTTTGAGGGTGGTTTTTGGTTTTTATCAGTTGTCTGAAATCTGAGACTCACCTGGGATCCACGGCCTTGGAGCTCCTCCAGCTGGGGGCTGGGCATCTGTAAACCATAATAACATTTATTAATAACAGTGATCATAATGACATTTATTAATTACCTGCTGTACATGAGATACTGCCAAGAACTTCTGTATTACTCATTTAATCCTCACACTATCCCTATGAGAAAGGTGCTGTAATTACTGCTATTGTAGAAAAGGGGAGACTTTGGTTTGGAAGGGTTGATTCATCCAAGATTGCATAGCTAGTAAGTAGTAGAGCCAGAAATGGAACCTAGGCATTGGGTGTCAAACCCCATGTTTTTAACCCTTGGGATTCCCTGGTACCTGGGGGAGTAGACTGCCAGTGAAGCTACTGTAAGCAAGTTGCCCAGGTGTTTTCTGCAGGGTGGGAAGGCAGGGACTGGTGAGCCCTGTGCCCCAGCCCATAGCTCCACTCCCACCTGCAGTGTGCCAAGTTGGAGGCCGCCATTGCTGAGGCCGAGGCGCATGGGGAGATGACACTCAAGGATGCACGTGCCAAGCAGGAGGAGCTGGAGAGTGCCCTGCAGCGAGCCAAACAGGACATGGCCCGGCAGCTGCGTGAGTACCAGGAGCTCATGAACGTCAAGCTGGCCCTGGACATTGAGATCGCCACCTACCGCAAGCTGCTGGAGGGCGAGGAGTGCAGGTGAGGGCACAGAAGCCAGAAAAGGAAGTGTTCTGGGGGGCTTGACAGTCATCCATCTACAAGCTTTTCCTGTATATCATCTTCTGCAGGGCACTGGGGGTGGGAAGTGTGGGAAGGGCACAGCTGATGCTGGCTTCTTTGCCTCTTATCTGATCCACAGAACACTTCAGGTAAGCAGGTCAGCACTGTTGATGCCTAGTTTACAGAGGGGGAAACTGGTTCAGTTTTATTAATTGTGGGGACAGGATCAGTGTACAGTCAGACTCTGTTGAATCCTGGTTCAAGCTTCTTCCATGATGCCAGGCTGCTCCTCACCACATAACTGAGTGCTAAGTCACATGGTATTGGTGAGTTCATGCCGAAGGTCACATGGCAAGTGGAGACATGCCCCCTGGAAGCCTAATCTGAGGCCAAGTTGCTATCACTGGAGCTAGATCCTGGTTCTCTGAAAGGAGACTGTCCTCTGAAAGGACCCTTAGGGGACACAGACATCTTGCTTATATCCCTTAATGTCTAAGCACCAAGGGCAGGTCTAGGATTTGTGATCTTACAACCCCATGCGATTTAGGGGGACTTCTTTTAAGAATACAAAGTTGCAAATATAAAATTAAACACAAAACCAAATATTTATTTAGGAAGAGAAAAAAAAATCACACAAATTACTAGAGCTTTAGGCATTACTTTTGAGTTCAGTAGTCATTGTTCCAGCAATTTTTACATGGACTTGCTGCCTGATTGCAACTTCGCTTCCCTCCACACCCACAACTGCCAGCACCTCCTGGCACTTGTGGGGGCCATTTGAATGAGAGGCCTGGATGCTTCCACACATACCCATTTCTTGCCCTTGGTCTTTGCTCTACCCCCTTCCTGACTTGGGGCTGCTAAGGCCAGCTGGGCTCCCCTCACTCCCTCCATCAAAGTGTACTTTACTCCCCACTGTAAAGTCATCCCCAAAACCAAGGGCTTGGCGATAATAGGACTGTGAGTCACAAAACAAACATACCCAGCTGTCTTGGATGGATTTTTAATTTCCAGTACAAGACCTGTTTCAATGCACAGGCTCGTTAAAGCCACCCCACCTACCTCCCTGCTTACTCCTTAGTCCCGGATGGAGCTGCATTTACTCAGTCAACAATTCATTAATTATTTCAACACATTAAATTATTACTCCATGCCAGACCTCATACTGGGCGCTAGAGATACAGGAATCAATAAGCTACAGCCCACTTTGAAGATTTTATCATCTGCTTAGAGAAGGCAGCCATTCCCATAAATAACAAGAGCAGCTACAGGATTTACTGAATCCTGTGTTCCTAGGGCTTTAGGTAAATTATGTTATTTAATTCTCACAAACAATCTGGTGAGGTTGGTACTGAGTTAGGCCCAATTTACAGGTGAGGAAATGGAGGCCCTGACACATTGCCCAGTGTCATGTAGCCAATAAGAAGGCCTGAGCCGATGCCCACCACCCCTGCAACACTCTTCACTCATTTTGCAACAAGGTTGGGGGAAGGCTGGCAGTGAGGGGACAGAGGAAGGAACACCAGTTCTGCTTGGGGCCTGGATGGAGGGGTACTGGCTGTGCTTTCTGCAACACTGAGGAAAGAGCTCCTCTCACAGGTTTCTCTCTGCCTCCAGGTTGGCCGGAGATGGAGTGGGAGCCGTGAACATCTGTAAGTCCTTGGCAGCGCCCATCCCCTGTGCTGTCCCTGGTCTATAGACCAGGATGTATAGGATGGCCTTGTGGGGACCAGGAGCCTCTCTCCCTCAACATTGGTTCGCCAGTGTCTGGAGATCCCAGCCAGGCTCAGCAGCCCAAGGAAGCTATGCAAGAGGGAGGAGTAGGGCAGGGGGCGAGGGAGGAGTAGGGCAGGGGGCACCTGTGGGGGAGCCCCATCACTGTGGGAGGCTCCTATTGGGTGTGCCCTGTGGGGAGGGAGAGGGGCAGCCACAGTAGGGTGGGGTGGAGCAGGGCTGGGGCCTGGGTGGTGGTCCTCGTGCTGACCAGGCCTTCCTCCCTTCTCTCCCAGCTGTGGTGAATTCCACTGGTGGCGGCGGCAGTGCGCTGGCCTTTGGGGGAACCATGGGCAGCAATGCTCTGAGCTTCTCAAGCAGCGGGGGGTCTGGGTCCCTCAAGGCTTATTCCATCAGGACTTCGTCTGCCACCCGCAGGAGTACCCGCAACTGAGCCCTGGGTGTGGGGTCTCTATGTTTGGGTGTGGGGTGTTTTTGTGTTCTGTGCTTGGGGACATCCATTCCTGATGGGCAGAGGCACATATGATGGGTACTGGGGAGGGGGTAGGAGGTCTCTGTGTCTGGACCCCCAGGGGGTGATGATGGGGCATGAGTGGGAAGCCCCATAGCCCCACCTACTGTTGTCGCAAGGGGACTCCCATCTCTGGTCCTAAAATTGCAAAGCAGTCTGAAAACTGATGTCAGAATAACTCCCAATAAAGCAGCTTCTTTCTGAGGCCTGGATGAGCCTCATGCCCGGCACCTGGCATCCTGGCTTCACTAGGGTGGGCAGGGGAGAGGGTGGGAAGGGAGAAAGGGGACCTAGAGAGGACAGTCTGCCCTGGTGACTGGGAAGCCACTCGTGCAGGAGAAGGCACATTGGTGACATAGGGCTGCTGCTCTAAGGAACTTGGCTCCTACCCAGTGTGAGGCCTTGGTGCCCTCCCAGGGCTGGGCTGATTCCAGCTCTCCTGAAGAGCCCAGAAACACTCTAGGGAAGTTCTGGCTCTGCCAAGAAGTGGACAGTGGAGTCATCTCCTTCTGAGGGGAGAGGGAGGGCTTTTGGCACCCCTGGCCTCCATGCCTTGTGCTGCCGGAGTATATTCCTCGGTGTGAGAAGGCCATAGATACTCAGCTGTGCCAGGCATGGGTCTCGGGTGGACCAGCCACCCTCAGCCCTTCCCAGTGCTGGGTCTGCCACGCCCTGGGGCCCTGGATGGCTGTGTGTGTCTGGGGCCTAGGGTCTGGGATTCTGTGGGGGTGATGGCAGTGGGAAGAAGTGTGTGTAAGTCTGGGAGATGTGAGGGATGAAGGGTGGTGCCAGAGTCTAGCTCCCCAAGTCTAGTCTAGTATGGGGGATCTGTGCCTGGGTCCATGGGCTGAGGGAGGGGCTTTCTGGATACCTTGTTGGGGGGTGGGTGGGCGGGGAGGACATCTGTGCAAGTCTGTGCTGGAAAAGGGCATCTGTTGTCAAGGTCTTTGGTGTGAGGGTCTGTGTGTTTGGGTGTGGGGTGTTTTTGTGGTCTGTGCTTGGGGACATCCATTCCTGATGGGCAGCAGCACATATGATGGGTCCTGGGGAAGAGGTAGGAGGTCTCTGTGTCTGGACCCCTAGGGGGTGATGATGGTGGCATGCGTGGGAAGGTGGGGGAAGCGTTGGTTTCCAGGGGGAGGGGAAGTCTGTATATTTGATCCTATGGTCAAGAATTTTCCTATGTTGAGGTGGTGGTGGGATGGGGGTGTGGAGGAAGTGGACCACTGGTGTTCCAGCAGTTTCAAGCAATGAGGTCCCACCCGAGGTGTCAGGGGAGCCAAGCCCTTCCCTCCTGGCTAAGGCCTCTCCCTGTTGCCCTTCTCACTTCCCTTCTGGTGCCTCCTCATGCTTCCGTGTGTCTAGGCATTTGGCCTATCCCTCTGGACCCCTCAGGACATGTAAATATGGCACTAGGGCCAGAGTGAGACAGCCCTCTCGCGCCGTTTGGCTGAGAAGAGCTTCTCTGTCAGCTGGAAGTGCATATGCATAGGCACAAAAGGGAGACACTCAGAGCGGATTACATATGCCCCATGAGCTTTATTGGAAACATGGAAACCAAGCGCGAGGGAGAGGGACAGGAGGAGGTTGCTGCGGAAAATCGTCTCCTCCGAGATGCAAACTCAGTCACTGTGCGAAGGTTTGGAAGGCAGGGGAGCCACAGCACGCAGCGCAGTGCGCCCACACTTGAGTGGCCCTGGGGCCAGTCTGACCCTCAGAAGCCACTGGCGTCCAGGCCCCCAGAGCAGCCTGAGTCGGGACTGGATCTTTGCCCAGGGCTGCGAGGAACCCAGTAATTTAGACTCCTGGGGGTGGGGGTGGGGAGAGCTGCCAGATGCGCGGGCCAGGAGCCCAGCCTCCCGGAAAGAACCAAGCACACAAGAGGGGAGAGAGATGCAAGGAGATAAGGCAGCAGTTGGGAGAGTCCAGAGGGCCGGTTCTGAAGCCCCTTCGCCTCAAGCCTAGGGCCTTTCAGAGCTCAGGGACCAGCCGCTGGAGGACTGCTCGCTCGCTGGAAGGTGTGTTGCAAAGCGGAAGGCGCTACGCAAACCGCACCGAGGGGCCGGGGCCACACCTCGGTCCGCAGGGCGCGCAGATTCCGGTGCTCACCGCCAGGTTCCCGCTGCAGGGGGCGCTGCAGACGCTGCCCGTCACCGGCCGGGAACCGGACACGGTCAGGTCCCCGCAGACAACCCCGCCCCGGGAGCTGCTGACACCTACGGAAGACGGCAGGGCTTAGTCCCCGTGTGAAGTTGTCGCTGGAGACCCCTGCCTGCTAACCAGAGCTCCCTTCCCTTGCTCAGAGCTCCTCCGCTCCATTTCTATCCCCCATCCCTGCCCCCACAACCCGCACTCTTCACATCTGGGCACACCTTCCTGCAGTCTAACCTCAAGCATCTTTGATAAATGTTAGCCCACAACTGCCATTTATGCAGAAATAGCTGTTTATTATATTCATTGCCACATCACCCTCCTCCCTTCAGGGTCTTCAAACTACAGCCACATGACGGCCTCATGGCCTCCTGTTTTTGTAAATCTACTCATTAAATATTGCTTATGGTTGTGGCTGCTTTCACATCACAGAGTCGAGTAGTGAGACAGAGACCACATGTCCCACAAGCCTGATAAATTTACTATCTGGCTCTTTACAAAAATGTTTGCACACCAAGAGCCCCAATCCCTTATGTCAGAACCCACAGGACAGATTACTTACAGACATTAACAGCTCCAATGCCCTCACACAACCTTGCAGGAAGAACAAAGAGACAAAAGTTTGTTGAACGAAGAGACAAAAAAGCTAACTGCAAATTCCCTCCTCCAAGGCACCAGTGCAAGTTAGGTGCAAATATATGCAAAACATGCTCCTGGCTCAAAGCACAGACTGGGGAGATTGAAGAGACATCCGCCCCTACAGGTGTGGTCCTCACCTCTGTTCCTCGCCCTCCAGCAGGCGCCTGTAGGTGGCGATCTCGATGTCCAGGCCCAGCTTGGAGTTCATCACCTCCTGGTACTCCTTGAGCAGGCAGGCCATGTCCTGCTTGGCCTTCTGCAGGGCGGCCTCCAGCTCAGCCAGCTTGCAGCGGGCGTCGTTAAGGGCGGCCTCACCCTGCTGCTCAGCCTGGGCCACTGCAGCCTCCAGCTTGGAGTTCTGGGAGGCGGGGGAGGGTTATTAAGGTTCTCTGTTCTGGGTTCAGATTCACAGGCCAGGCATCCTCTGACCATTGATTGTCAGAAGAAGAAGGGCTTTACCCACTTGTTAAGTGAGGATTTGCAAATTAGTGTTCCCAGGGAATGTTAACACAGCATCTTTAATTTTTGAACTTTAACGTAAAATATCCAGATTCCTGGCTTCTCTTGAAACATCAGAGGATCTGTCCACACTGGACCTTGCATTTCCACATGGCCTGCCTCATTTGGATCTGATTAGCTCTGCCCTTTTTGCTTTCCAGTTTATCACTGTGGCCCTAGTGCCTTCCGTACAGCCACTTCACTCATTTATGACCTCTTGGGACATCAGAGAGTGATCACTGATCTAGAACAACAGGCCAGAGAGGTGAAATGGCTTGCCCCAAATCATGTGGTGAGCTGGTGGACCAGCTGGTAGGAGAGCCAGGTTCTGGCCCAGCAGATCGGTGCTGTTTCCTCTGCCCTAGTTTGCCCAGAGACCAGGAAAGACCCCTCATTCCATTTCCTCTGTAGTGCTCCCCCCTCCGTTCAGCAGGAATGGGGGAGACTTGCCTAATGTTTGAAGTTCATTCCTTTTCCCACAACTTGGCAAGGTGTTTAACTTAAATCCCCTGTGGCAGGCTCACCCCATTGTCTTTCTACACAATGGAGTGGCCCAGGCTCCTGTACCTGGCACTTGGCATTCTCAACCTCAGCGGTCAGCCTCTGGATCATGCGGTTCAGCTCATTGATCTCCTCCTTGGTGCGGCGCAGGGTCTCCCCGTGTCGGATCACTGTGGCCTTGATCTCTTCGCACTGAGGGGAAGCAGAGATGCTCCTGAGGCTCAGGATGGGAACCCTACAACACTGACTGATGGACAAGGGGCAGTGAGCATTGACATTGGAGGACTTCCCGGGGAGGATTGGAAGGGCTGGGCACACAGGCTATGTGAGCCCAGGGGAGAGGGTTAGAGGGCATAGAAGGCGGGTGGTGGGGGGAGTAAGGAGGAGGAGCCCTGAGCTAGGGGCTGAGGATTGTAGCCCTCTGAGCTGACCAAGAGGAGGCCCAGGACTAGAGAGGCTTCTGATGGTGGGATGGGCCACAAGCAGAAGGAAAGCTAAGGCAGGGCAAGAAGTGGCAGTTGCTGCTCAGGTCCATTGTAAATCTGAACACCCCAACCCAAACCAGGGGGGCTATTGATTATGCATTTTGGGCCTGGGGGTTCCAAGCAGTGCCTCTGTGCTCCAAGTCCCCCTGTTCTGGTCTGGTCTGTTTCAAACTAGTTCCTGTTTTGAGGGTGGTTTTTGGTTTTTATCAGTTGTCTGAAATCTGAGACTCACCTGGGATCCACGGCCTTGGAGCTCCTCCAGCTGGGGGCTGGGCATCTGTAAACCATAATAACATTTATTAATAACAGTGATCATAATGACATTTATTAATTACCTGCTGTACATGAGATACTGCCAAGAACTTCTGTATTACTCATTTAATCCTCACACTATCCCTATGAGAAAGGTGCTGTAATTACTGCTATTGTAGAAAAGGGGAGACTTTGGTTTGGAAGGGTTGATTCATCCAAGATTGCATAGCTAGTAAGTAGTAGAGCCAGAAATGGAACCTAGGCATTGGGTGTCAAACCCCATGTTTTTAACCCTTGGGATTCCCTGGTACCTGGGGGAGTAGACTGCCAGTGAAGCTACTGTAAGCAAGTTGCCCAGGTGTTTTCTGCAGGGTGGGAAGGCAGGGACTGGTGAGCCCTGTGCCCCAGCCCATAGCTCCACTCCCACCTGCAGTGTGCCAAGTTGGAGGCCGCCATCGCTGAGGCCGAGGCGCATGGGGAGATGACACTCAAGGATGCACGTGCCAAGCAGGAGGAGCTGGAGAGTGCCCTGCAGCGAGCCAAACAGGACATGGCCCGGCAGCTGCGTGAGTACCAGGAGCTCATGAACGTCAAGCTGGCCCTGGACATTGAGATCGCCACCTACCGCAAGCTGCTGGAGGGCGAGGAGTGCAGGTGAGGGCACAGAAGCCAGAAAAGGAAGTGTTCTGGGGGGCTTGACAGTCATCCATCTACAAGCTTTTCCTGTGTATCATCTTCTGCAGGGCACTGGGGGTGGGAAGTGTGGGAAGGGCACAGCTGATGCTGGCTTCTTTGCCTCTTATCTGATCCACAGAACACTTCAGGTAAGCAGGTCAGCACTGTTGATGCCTAGTTTACAGAGGGGGAAACTGGTTCAGTTTTATTAATTGTGGGGACAGGATCAGTGTACAGTCAGACTCTGTTGAATCCTGGTTCAAGCTTCTTCCATGATGCCAGGCTGCTCCTCACCACATAACTGAGTGCTAAGTCACATGGTATTGGTGAGTTCATGCCGAAGGTCACATGGCAAGTGGAGACATGCCCCCTGGAAGCCTAATCTGAGGCCAAGTTGCTATCACTGGAGCTAGATCCTGGTTCTCTGAAAGGAGACTGTCCTCTGAAAGGACCCTTAGGGGACACAGACATCTTGCTTATATCCCTTAATGTCTAAGCACCAAGGGCAGGTCTAGGATTTGTGATCTTACAACCCCATGCGATTTAGGGGGACTTCTTTTAAGAATACAAAGTTGCAAATATAAAATTAAACACAAAACCAAATATTTATTTAGGAAGAGAAAAAAAAATCACACAAATTACTAGAGCTTTAGGCATTACTTTTGAGTTCAGTAGTCATTGTTCCAGCAATTTTTACATGGAATTGCTGCCTGATTGCAGCTTCGCTTCCCTCCACACCCACAACTGCCAGCACCTCCTGGCACTTGTGGGGGCCATTTGAATGAGAGGCCTGGATGCTTCCACACATACCCATTTCTTGCCCTTGGTCTTTGCTCTACCCCCTTCCTGACTTGGGGCTGCTAAGGCCAGCTGGGCTCCCCTCACTCCCTCCATCAAAGTGTACTTTACTCCCCACTGTAAAGTCATCCCCAAAACCAAGGGCTTGGCGATAATAGGACTGTGAGTCACAAAACAAACATACCCAGCTGTCTTGGATGGATTTTTAATTTCCAGTACAAGACCTGTTTCAATGCACAGGCTCGTTAAAGCCACCCCACCTACCTCCCTGCTTACTCCTTAGTCCCGGATGGAGCTGCATTTACTCAGTCAACAATTCATTAATTATTTCAACACATTAAATTATTACTCCATGCCAGACCTCATACTGGGCGCTAGAGATACAGGAATCAATAAGCTACAGCCCACTTTGAAGATTTTATCATCTGCTTAGAGAAGGCAGCCATTCCCATAAATAACAAGAGCAGCTACAGGATTTACTGAATCCTGTGTTCCTAGGGCTTTAGGTAAATTATGTTATTTAATTCTCACAAACAATCTGGTGAGGTTGGTACTGAGTTAGGCCCAATTTACAGGTGAGGAAATGGAGGCCCTGACACATTGCCCAGTGTCATGTAGCCAATAAGAAGGCCTGAGCCGATGCCCACCACCCCTGCAACACTCTTCACTCATTTTGCAACAAGGTTGGGGGAAGGCTGGCAGTGAGGGGACAGAGGAAGGAACACCAGTTCTGCTTGGGGCCTGGATGGAGGGGTACTGGCTGTGCTTTCTGCAACACTGAGGAAAGAGCTCCTCTCACAGGTTTCTCTCTGCCTCCAGGTTGGCCGGAGATGGAGTGGGAGCCGTGAACATCTGTAAGTCCTTGGCAGCGCCCATCCCCTGTGCTGTCCCTGGTCTATAGACCAGGATGTATAGGATGGCCTTGTGGGGACCAGGAGCCTCTCTCCCTCAACATTGGTTCGCCAGTGTCTGGAGATCCCAGCCAGGCTCAGCAGCCCAAGGAAGCTATGCAAGAGGGAGGAGTAGGGCAGGGGGCGAGGGAGGAGTAGGGCAGGGGGCACCTGTGGGGGAGCCCCATCACTGTGGGAGGCTCCTATTGGGTGTGCCCTGTGGGGAGGGAGAGGGGCAGCCACAGTAGGGTGGGGTGGAGCAGGGCTGGGGCCTGGGTGGTGGTCCTCGTGCTGACCAGGCCTTCCTCCCTTCTCTCCCAGCTGTGGTGAATTCCACTGGTGGCGGCGGCAGTGCGCTGGCCTTTGGGGGAACCATGGGCAGCAATGCTCTGAGCTTCGCAAGCAGCGGGGGGTCTGGGTCCCTCAAGGCTTATTCCATCAGGACTTCGTCTGCCACCCGCAGGAGTACCCGCAACTGAGCCCTGGGTGTGGGGTCTCTATGTTTGGGTGTGGGGTGTTTTTGTGTTCTGTGCTTGGGGACATCCATTCCTGATGGGCAGAGGCACATATGATGGGTACTGGGGAGGGGGTAGGAGGTCTCTGTGTCTGGACCCCCAGGGGGTGATGATGGGGCATGAGTGGGAAGCCCCATAGCCCCACCTACTGTTGTCGCAAGGGGACTCCCATCTGTGGTCCTAAAATTGCAAAGCAGTCTGAAAACTGATGTCAGAATAACTCCCAATAAAGCAGCTTCTTTCTGAGGCCTGGATGAGCCTCATGCCCGGCACCTGGCATCCTGGCTTCACTAGGGTGGGCAGGGGAGAGGGTGGGAAGGGAGAAAGGGGACCTAGAGAGGACAGTCTGCCCTGGTGACTGGGAAGCCACTCGTGCAGGAGAAGGCACATTGGTGACATAGGGCTGCTGCTCTAAGGAACTTGGCTCCTACCCAGTGTGAGGCCTTGGTGCCCTCCCAGGGCTGGGCTGATTCCAGCTCTCCTGAAGAGCCCAGAAACACTCTAGGGAAGTTCTGGCTCTGCCAAGAAGTGGACAGTGGAGTCATCTCCTTCTGAGGGGAGAGGGAGGGCTTTTGGCACCCCTGGCCTCCATGCCTTGTGCTGCCGGAGTATATTCCTCGGTGTGAGAAGGCCATAGATACTCAGCTGTGCCAGGCATGGGTCTCGGGTGGACCAGCCACCCTCAGCCCTTCCCAGTGCTGGGTCTGCCACGCCCTGGGGCCCTGGATGGCTGTGTGTGTCTGGGGCCTAGGGTCTGGGATTCTGCGGGGGTGATGGCAGTGGGAAGAAGTGTGTGTAAGTCTGGGAGATGTGAGGGATGAAGGGTGGTGCCAGAGTCTAGCTCCCCAAGTCTAGTCTAGTATGGGGGATCTGTGCCTGGGTCCATGGGCTGAGGGAGGGGCTTTCTGGATACCTTGTTGGGGGGTGGGTGGGCGGGGAGGACATCTGTGCAAGTCTGTGCTGGAAAAGGGCATCTGTTGTCAAGGTCTTTGGTGTGAGGGTCTGTGTGTTTGGGTGTGGGGTGTTTTTGTGGTCTGTGCTTGGGGACATCCATTCCTGATGGGCAGCAGCACATATGATGGGTCCTGGGGAAGAGGTAGGAGGTCTCTGTGTCTGGACCCCTAGGGGGTGATGATGGTGGCATGCGTGGGAAGGTGGGGGAAGCGTTGGTTTCCAGGGGGAGGGGAAGTCTGTATATTTGATCCTATGGTCAAGAATTTTCCTATGTTGAGGTGGTGGTGGGATGGGGGTGTGGAGGAAGTGGACCACTGGTGTTCCAGCAGTTTCAAGCAATGAGGTCCCACCCGAGGTGTCAGGGGAGCCAAGCCCTTCCCTCCTGGCTAAGGCCTCTCCCTGTTGCCCTTCTCACTTCCCTTCTGGTGCCTCCTCATGCTTCCGTGTGTCTAGGCATTTGGCCTATCCCTCTGGACCCCTCAGGACATGTAAATATGGCACTAGGGCCAGAGTGAGACAGCCCTCTCGCGCCGTTTGGCTGAGAAGAGCTTCTCTGTCAGCTGGAAGTGCATATGCATAGGCACAAAAGGGAGACACTCAGAGCGGATTACATATGCCCCATGAGCTTTATTGGAAACATGGAAACCAAGCGCGAGGGAGAGGGACAGGAGGAGGTTGCTGCGGAAAATCGTCTCCTCCGAGATGCAAACTCAGTCACTGTGCGAAGGTTTGGAAGGCAGGGGAGCCACAGCACGCAGCGCAGTGCGCCCACACTTGAGTGGCCCTGGGGCCAGTCTGACCCTCAGAAGCCACTGGCGTCCAGGCCCCCAGAGCAGCCTGAGTCGGGACTGGATCTTTGCCCAGGGCTGCGAGGAACCCAGTAATTTAGACTCCTGGGGGTGGGGGTGGGGAGAGCTGCCAGATGCGCGGGCCAGGAGCCCAGCCTCCCGGAAAGAACCAAGCACACAAGAGGGGAGAGAGATGCAAGGAGATAAGGCAGCAGTTGGGAGAGTCCAGAGGGCCGGTTCTGAAGCCCCTTCGCCTCAAGCCTAGGGCCTTTCAGAGCTCAGGGACCAGCCGCTGGAGGACTGCTCGCTCGCTGGAAGGTGTGTTGCAAAGCGGAAGGCGCTACGCAAACCGCACCGAGGGGCCGGGGCCACACCTCGGTCCGCAGGGCGCGCAGATTCCGGTGCTCACCGCCAGGTTCCCGCTGCAGGGGGCGCTGCAGACGCTGCCCGTCACCGGCCGGGAACCGGACACGGTCAGGTCCCCGCAGACAACCCCGCCCCGGGAGCTGCTGACACCTACGGAAGACGGCAGGGCTTAGTCCCCGTGTGAAGTTGTCGCTGGAGACCCCTGCCTGCTAACCAGAGCTCCCTTCCCTTGCTCAGAGCTCCTCCGCTCCATTTCTATCCCCCATCCCTGCCCCCACAACCCGCACTCTTCACATCTGGGCACACCTTCCTGCAGTCTAACCTCAAGCATCTTTGATAAATGTTAGCCCACAACTGCCATTTATGCAGAAATAGCTGTTTATTATATTCATTGCCACATCACCCTCCTCCCTTCAGGGTCTTCAAACTACAGCCACATGACGGCCTCATGGCCTCCTGTTTTTGTAAATCTACTCATTAAATATTGCTTATGGTTGTGGCTGCTTTCACATCACAGAGTCGAGTAGTGAGACAGAGACCACATGTCCCACAAGCCTGATAAATTTACTATCTGGCTCTTTACAAAAATGTTTGCACACCAAGAGCCCCAATCCCTTATGTCAGAACCCACAGGACAGATTACTTACAGACATTAACAGCTCCAATGCCCTCACACAACCTTGCAGGAAGAACAAAGAGACAAAAGTTTGTTGAACGAAGAGACAAAAAAGCTAACTGCAAATTCCCTCCTCCAAGGCACCAGTGCAAGTTAGGTGCAAATATATGCAAAACATGCTCCTGGCTCAAAGCACAGACTGGGGAGATTGAAGAGACATCCGCCCCTACAGGTGTGGTCCTCACCTCTGTTCCTCGCCCTCCAGCAGGCGCCTGTAGGTGGCGATCTCGATGTCCAGGCCCAGCTTGGAGTTCATCACCTCCTGGTACTCCTTGAGCAGGCAGGCCATGTCCTGCTTGGCCTTCTGCAGGGCGGCCTCCAGCTCAGCCAGCTTGCAGCGGGCGTCGTTAAGGGCGGCCTCACCCTGCTGCTCAGCCTGGGCCACTGCAGCCTCCAGCTTGGAGTTCTGGGAGGCGGGGGAGGGTTATTAAGGTTCTCTGTTCTGGGTTCAGATTCACAGGCCAGGCATCCTCTGACCATTGATTGTCAGAAGAAGAAGGGCTTTACCCACTTGTTAAGTGAGGATTTGCAAATTAGTGTTCCCAGGGAATGTTAACACAGCATCTTTAATTTTTGAACTTTAACGTAAAATATCCAGATTCCTGGCTTCTCTTGAAACATCAGAGGATCTGTCCACACTGGACCTTGCATTTCCACATGGCCTGCCTCATTTGGATCTGATTAGCTCTGCCCTTTTTGCTTTCCAGTTTATCACTGTGGCCCTAGTGCCTTCCGTACAGCCACTTCACTCATTTATGACCTCTTGGGACATCAGAGAGTGATCACTGATCTAGAACAACAGGCCAGAGAGGTGAAATGGCTTGCCCCAAATCATGTGGTGAGCTGGTGGACCAGCTGGTAGGAGAGCCAGGTTCTGGCCCAGCAGATCGGTGCTGTTTCCTCTGCCCTAGTTTGCCCAGAGACCAGGAAAGACCCCTCATTCCATTTCCTCTGTAGTGCTCCCCCCTCCGTTCAGCAGGAATGGGGGAGACTTGCCTAATGTTTGAAGTTCATTCCTTTTCCCACAACTTGGCAAGGTGTTTAACTTAAATCCCCTGTGGCAGGCTCACCCCATTGTCTTTCTACACAATGGAGTGGCCCAGGCTCCTGTACCTGGCACTTGGCATTCTCAACCTCAGCGGTCAGCCTCTGGATCATGCGGTTCAGCTCATTGATCTCCTCCTTGGTGCGGCGCAGGGTCTCCCCGTGTCGGATCACTGTGGCCTTGATCTCTTCGCACTGAGGGGAAGCAGAGATGCTCCTGAGGCTCAGGATGGGAACCCTACCGGTTCAGGTCACCATGGATGATATTGCAGGTTGTGCAGTGCTCAGCCTGTGCAACCATATAGGGAAGCTGTGCCCTGCCACCCCAACAACGCACTGAAAGCTTTTTGCCCCTCTTCTATCATCTCTAGGGAAGGACAGCCCACAATTCGTTAGGGATCAGAATCACAGGCAAAGAAGTTGTTTCTGATAAATACATCACATCCTTCCCACTACCACATCTTGGAGGCAGGTGTCCTGGGCCACACACCTTGGTGCGGTACCAGGACTCGGCCTCGGCCCGGCTGCGGCTGGCAATGTCGTCGTACTGAGCCTTGATCTCAGCCACAATGCAGTCCATGTTCAGGTCCCGGCTGTTGTCCATCTTGACGATGACTGAGGTGTCTGAGATGTGGGACTGGAGGATGCGGATCTCCTGTGGTGGTGGGAGGGGACAGAGCTTCTTTGGCCAGAGCCCCACTCTCGGCAGCCCGCCCTCTCACAGACCTTCCCTGTCCCCTTTCCCTGCTTCCTCCATAGCCTCGCTGTCTAAGTCCCAGTCTCACAGGGGAAGTCTTCCCCTCAGCCCCGGGGCCTCCCAATGCTCTCCAGGTCCAGAGACCAGAGGCTGACAGGGGCCAAGTCTGAGGCCCACTGCCTGATTTAGGTGAGGGCCTCCTGTCTCCATCCTTTGGGTCTAGGGTCAGCATTTACCAGTTTGTGATGACTGTCACCATAGTAACCAGGAACGCCAGCTTGTCGGGGCATGGCAGATGAGACCAAAGCCACCCTTCTTCACCTTCTGACAGCAAATCTGTCCCAGGTCTGTCCATCTGCTCTGCACTATCCCTCTCCCTCCAACCCAGGGGCTCAGAAGCCAAATAAATGGTGGCAAGTCCTTCCCAGTGTCTAACTCACATCTGTCTTGCTGCCCCCCTGCTCTGTGGCCCCTCACCTCCTCATACAGCCGCCGCAGGAAGTCGATCTCCTGGATCAGGGCCTCTGCGTTGGCCTCCAGGTCCGACTTGCGCAGGTAGGCACAGTCCACATCCTAAAGGGAGAGGGTGGTACAGGAGTCACACAGGTGAGACAGCACAGAGCTCTCCCCAGCAGGGGGCATCCCATCAGGCTGGGTGGAGACCCTCCTGAGCTCCCCGTGCAGAGCCTGCTGAAGTCCTCTGTGCAGTCGGAGGGGTCAGGAGCAGGTTCGGGTAAGGGTGGGGAC